TTTCTCCAAAATATGACATTCTTTCCTTTTTGACTGGTGACATTTTCAGTTATGATTGTTTATTGTGACTTTTAAGGAGTGAACTGGAGTGTATGCCACAATAGACACGGACATTTTTATGCCAACTTGCTTTTTCTTTCTTTTTAAGTGAAACTTTTTTACTGAAGCCAATAATGACATGTATTAAAAAATATGTTTCTCATTGACTCTGTTAGTATTTGAAATACTTTATGTTTTTCCTGCAATTTTTAGAAGTGAAATAAGTATTAGTGCAGATCATTTATACAACAATAACAGTCATGCACTAACTCTGTATGTTCCCACAGATGAATTCATTGGGTAAATCTTCCAAATGGCCGTCTTATGACTCGCTTCCCTCCACCTCAAGCTTCCCCCCCAGCGAAAGCGAGCAGACTGAGGACGAGGCAGACGTCTTCTCTGAGGGAGAAGGGGACAATGTATTAAGAAGCTCCCTGCACTCAAAGTTTAAAGGCGATCAATGTGAACTATACCCTGATGAAGCCAAACATTTGTCTCCTGAACCGGCTGCACTCAGGTCATCAACTCCAGGAGACTTGACCTTCGCTAAGAAAGTGAGCACAGTTTCACTAAAACAAGCTTTCTCCTTCTAGTGTTTCATTTTTTATAACAAAACGCGTTTCTCTATATTTTCAGTGTGCTGATTTGGACAGGTATATCTGCCCTTTGCTGGAGCTTCTGCAGGGATTAAAGTCTGGACGGTTTGACAAAGGTTTGTGGATTAATTACACTAAATATTGCTGTGTAATAAACAGCAATATTGTCTGACATTCTGATGTATGTTCATAGGCTTAACCAGCTTCCAGCAGAGCATGGCCATAGACAGATTACAGCGAATTCTTGGGATCCTGCAGAAACCTGAAATGGGGTAAAAAAAAAGTGCTTCTAAATTAAACAACTCCAGCAAATATGTCGTTATTGCTATTACTAATAGTTTTGACGTTGATTTGTGTTGCAGTGAGAAATACCTCCAGAATCTACTGCAGATAGAGATGCTGCTCAAAATGTGGTTCCCTCAGGGGTTGTTCAAGTCCAAGGATAAATCCAAGCAGACCAGCACTGCCTCACTTGCTTTACATCGGAGGAAAAATCAGCTCCACATGCCGGTCAAGGTGAGAATCAAATGACAGGCTGGTGCCTTCAGAAGCAATGGAAATAAGCAATAAATCGATTAATTGTATGAGAAATTAAAATGAGTGCAGTAATTACCATTTGCATTCCTGTTTGTGTAGTTAGCCTGATTCTGCTCTTCAAAATAATTGAAAAGCTGCCATTTTGAGAAATGCTGCAAATATTTGATAACCAGTCTAACTTTTTTAGGCTTCATAATCCATTATATTTATTCTTCTGGTTATTTGTCTCAGCCTGATAGGCCTGTGACTGACCAAAGTGATAAATAAATGTGAAGTAGATGCAATTTCATTGGTTGCTAAACCAATAAAATTGAGAAATGTCGGCAAGTTTGTGTTCATCCCAGCTTCTCTCTGGTAACAAAATCAATTTCAGTTCATATCTTTCATGTGAGTAATTTCATCTGAGTATAAATCCAGATGTCCTTTTAAAGTAACTTTAGGAAATTATGAAGACCAACAACAATCAGATCAATGGTAAGGCTGTGGAGAAGCATGGTGAGGTTTCAAAAAGTAGACGTTTGTATAGTGGAGAATTATTAGTGGTCTATTACAAAAAACAAAACACAAAAAGAGTTTTTAATTCTAACTTTAAAATGTGAAAAGATATAAGGAGTATGGATACTTTTTTATTAAGGACAGTTATATTAAACAGAGATCCACCTTTAGGGGGAATCAAATTATGTTAAGCTGTATCCCGTTCACACATCTGTTATCCATGATGTGGTGTGTTTGTAATTCAAGCATGGAGCAACATTTGGTTCTATTTTTTTCCTCTGCAGAAGAGAAAGCTGAGCTGGTCAGACCCCGATGTTGCCGACATACTCCCGGCGAAGCAAAACCACCGTCAACACAGAGAACACGAGAGGTGCCACGCTGCCACTTCACTCGACACCGCTTCGACATGTCTTCCTCTATCTCCAGAAAATCAGATCACGTCAGAGGAGAAAACTACTGACACCGAAGTGGATAACTGCTTAGCAGGGCAAAGGTTTACAGACAGGACTGGCCCTTTAAGCAGGGCTTATATATGCAGTAGGGGAGAAAGCGAGAACCCGAAGCCTACTGAGGTCCTTCTACCCTCCTTGTGCCGCAGCCCAGCTATGCAGGACTGCTCGGTGTCTTCAAGCAACAGCGTTCCTGCAACTGACTCACCTTAACTGGCTGAGGCTGACCTTGCTATCACATGGAGGTACCTCAGCTGGAGGGCGGACCAGATTACATAAGTATAAGGTTTGGCGTAAAGCCAGTCTGCCATGCCTGCAAGGCACATTAAACCAGAGGAGGTGCAGGAAGATACTTATTAACCCTTGACTCTCTGGGTTTCTTTTCCAAAAGTGGCTGTTATATTATTTTTATTAGAAGCTGTTGTTGTTTTTCCATGAAACTAATTTGAAGAAGCTTGGATATTTTTGTTTTATATTTCTTGTGTGTTAAAGACGTTTTTACTGTTTTTATATGTTTTTCATAATACATGACAGCCTGAAAAGTAGCAGCACAGCATTCTGAAAATAATACCAATAATGATTTTATTATTATTGTTATTGTTTTAGAAGCTACTGTTTGTAGGAAGGTGATGCTTTGTGGAGAACTGAGTTAAAATAGCTTAGAAATATTTGATATTTCTTGTGCAATAAAGCAGATTTTTACTGTTTTGTACTTTACATATTCTAAGGCAGCCCCAAAAAGCAATGGCAAGGGATTTTTAAAAATAATAATAATAAAAGTATTAGACAGGGGATAACACTGTCTAATACCACATACCGTTAATATTTTTCACTCTGTCCTGCAGTAGTTTAATGAGCCTCAATGCTGATTTCTGGCAAACTAAAAGAAAAAAAATGTTTGCAGCTTCCTTGGATTTGTAAGAGAATGTTACTGTATTAATATTACATTTACAAGAAGTTCTCTTCAGTCTCATTGCCTTCAAAAGTTGATCTTTCTGACTATTTTGCATATAGTTTTCTTGAAGTAACTTGGAGACGCTCCAAAATTGAAAAGGATCTTCCTCTGCCCATTTTCTGCTTCCAGCTATGATCAAGTTACTTTTTGGTAGATTTTGTCGTCTTGCTGACGTACATTATCTCACACTGTCCAGCGTTTTTGACAGATAAAACTAAATGATGTAGGAAAGACGTGCAATTTCTGCCAAGATGTGCCAAAAAAAGAATTTTTTGCATTCTCAAATTGTAAATGGCTTATAAGGTTGTCACAAATATTTTATTTATTTTATTTTTGTTTCTCCACTTAATATGAAAAGGAAAATGGTTTATGTGCAAAAAAGCTTTAGCAAAAAAAAAAAAAGAAAAGAAATACTCGGCTGAATTTAATTCTACATATTGTGCTATTTATTTTGTGAGTCGCCACCTTTTGCTTTTATTGGAAATATTTTGTAGTGGAAATTTGTAGCAAACAACTTAAAATATTTATGCCTGTTTGCATCTGAGTTTGTGTATCTGCACTTTGGATGAAAATGAGGAAATGTTACACATCTGTGAACATCAACGAAGTTGTGAGATTATTTATAAAAGCATTACTTGATATTTTGAATTCCATTGGTTTGTGTTACACCTCAGAGGTACTTGAATTACAAATGCGTGTCACTGTGCAGGGAAACATTTGAAGAATTGTAGTATACTAAAACGAAGCATGATGCGGAAGTAGAAGCCAACTGCTGTGCCTCATTGTAGTGGATTTATCACTATTATTACATCAAATTAGCAACACTTTTTTTTTAAGTGCCATAAAAAATGTGGTAAAGATGAAAAGAACTGAACCATTTCCACTTCTGAACTCATTGTTTTTACTTTTTTAAAACATTTTGGTGAAGTTTTATTCATGTTGAATGACATCTCTGATAGTTTGTCATTGTCAGAGCCTTGCATACAAACACAAATAACAGTAGAAATTATACAACAGAAAAAAATCAAGTGCATAATTTTATGAATGATTAAAAAAAAAACATGTCACAGCAAACCAGGTGTGGGTTTTTTGCGCAGGTGTTTCTCAGGCTTCATCATTTTGGATAATTCAATGTCACTTCATGTAGAAACAGTAAGCACAAGGCAGAGAACAATATGTGTACAATGAAACTTAATGTTTTTGTTGTTAAACTGTAATGACTATATTTGTGAAATAAGACAAAAGTTCTCTCTTTGCAATTTTATCTTTATAAAAGGTCCAGTTGTTTTTTATTGAGGCCATTTCTTTATTTTTTGTAAATCATATTGTCATTACTGGTGAGTGCTTGAAAAATCTTTTCAGATATTAAAAAAAATCTAATGATTTATCCACTCCATTTGCTGGTTTAGAGTTTTTAATGAAACACCATGGCTTGCAAGATTATTTATACACTCTGTAGTTTTCACATTACACAAACAGACCTTAGTAACACAAAATAATACATTTGAAGTTGAAGGAATGCGGGATATAGGCTTGAACCTTTTCTATTAATAAAAATAAAAAGAGTTCGTTTTCTGCTCTCTTTATCGCTCAATAGCTTGTTGCAGTTATAGCTGAAACTCGACTTCTTCCTGCGATGCAGAAGAAAAACATTGGTTGCGATGTCCGTTTTCCAAATTCATATCTATGCGTGAAGCGTCTAAAACTACTTTGAAATGTATATATTTTAGCAACATTGCAAAAACTAGACATTAGGCATGATTTAAACATTTTACATGGAACTATTTTGGCGCAGAAAAAGAAAAAGAAAAGTCCCGCGTTATAAATAAAACGCAGGAGGTGCGGCTCCATATTTAATATTACATTGCTGTACACCAGGGGGCGCTACCGGTACAGCGTGTTTCGGAAGTGTTCGTCCGCGTACCAGGATGTCACAAGGCGCTAAGTTTTAACCATAAGTGTTAAATGATTTGACAAATTACCTCTGGGAAAGAATCTCGCTTTGGATAACTTTTAAACAGGAAAAGGGGATCAAAAAGGACTAAGCTGAATTTTAATTTTGTGTGAAATTACAGCGGGAGGCTGCCGAGCGGCTTTTGAACGCGATGCTGTTTGTGTAAGGTTGAGCTAGCATGCTAAGCTAAGTGCTAGCCCAAGCTAAGTTAATGTTGGAGCGATAGAGATTGGCTTCTGTAGACATGGCAGCGGGAACAGGAGGATCTTTGGAAGCCACACTGGACAAGAGGTTCAGAGGTCTGACCAACACGATGGACTCCATCCAGGGACTGTCAACATGGTGCATAGACAACAAGAAGTACCACAGCCTCATTGTGCGCCAGTGGATGAAGTGTTTGAGGAAATGTGAGTAGTTTTACCACCCACCTGAAGCCCACTTTACCTGATCGGAACTAGTTTCGTTAATGAAACGATTGCAGTGTGTAAAAATTAGGCTGACGTTTGCATCTGCTTTAAGATTTACTTCAGGAAAGCGCTAGTTAGAAGCATTCGTCAGTTCTTGTTTATAGTCCAAGTTATTTACATTAGGTTTCTACAGAGTCTCGAACTTTATTAGTTTTTTTTTCTGGTCTGAATCACTTTGAAAAGAGAAAATGCATAAGGCAAGTTGATTTTCAATAACAAGGCAATTTAAATGGGTTTACAAGATGTAAACAAAACATCCGACAAACAAGCAAAAATATTACACTGCAGTGATGCAACACGAAAAATAAATTATGTCCCATCTATTATTAAGGCAACATCATCAACCAAATGAGTTTTTAGCCGTGATTTAAAGGATCTCAGTGTTTCAGGAGTTTTGCAGTTTTCTGGAAGTTTGTTCCAGATTAGTGGAGCATAGAATCTGATTGCTGCGTCTCCATGTTTGGTTCTGATCTCGCTCATGCAGAGCAGAACCAGAAGACTTGAGTCTCTGGAAGCGGGACATGACGACAGCAGGTCTTCAATGTGTTTTGGTGCTAAACCTGTCAATGATTTATAAATAAGTGTATTTGAAAATGTCTTTGAGACCAAACTGTAAGACGTGTACAGGAAGGATTTGTCTAATTGTTGACCTTCTTACCTGTTTGTCCATCCATCCTTCCATCCACTAATTCATTTTTCCATCTATCCACCTCTCACCTCATCGGGACAGTGTCCGGTTCCTGTCACATGACCAGAAGGAAGGTTTACACACTTATTCTCTTATTTACACATCTGTCCCGTGAGCTTGTTCCACTTTTTCCCAGCATTACCTGGCGGATTAGATAATCTCTGGGATGATATAATCCAAACCTCCAAAGCCACTATAACGTGAGGGTTTTTTAAAATAAAACATCCAGGTAAAAATATGTTCAGTCAGTCTGAGTGTTAGTGGTGAGGACCAGGTTGCTCTGCTCTAATCCATAAAAATGTAAAGTTAATTTTCCTTGCAGTGGATACAGTGTCTTTCATGCAAGACTTTGCAAATGTTTTAAATTATGTTTAATAATTTTGTAATCTCAGGATGTCTTCTGGAGTAACTCTACGTATGAGGGTGTACACAAAACAGTTGTATTTTTTTGACAATTATTATTTGCAACTTGCTACAACAACACAGGTTGTTCCAATTTCCAAGCTGAAATTTTAAAGATGCATTTTGCTTCTTTAAGATGTGCTGAAATGTTTGGGATAATTTTGGAAGAAGAGCCTTATTGAGTATGTTATTATTATTTTTTAATACAAGGTTGTTAAATGGTTTTTCTGTTTGATGAGTTTATTATTATTAGGGAGTTTTGAAGTGAACTATTGTTGATCACAGGTTAGGTAATGTGATCAGATTGGCTCTTTTTTTTTTAAGGAAGGCCTTTTCAGTGTTCTTAGTATGTCTGGTTGCTCACACAGCATAAACATTTTAAAATCAGGTTGGTTTTGTTGGAGCTTTTGAAAACAGTCTTGACAAGAACGATTCATTTTGGTTTTATATAATTGTGATTTGAATCAGGAGTCAGTGCACGACTCACATTTTAAAACGAAACTGTTTAAAGTGCTCCTTGATAGCTTAGGATTTTTAAATCATTAATTTCTTCCCAGTGTATGATCGTCAATGAATATTGGTGTCAGTTGTTTTTGTAAAGCACACATTTGCATTTTAGTTGAGGAGTCAAGATATAGTTAATCATTGTTTTTCTTTTGGTAACGCACTCATTGACAGGCCTCATTTTTTACTATTCCAAAAAGTAAGGATGTTTGAGTGAGCCCCTAAATTGACTGGAAAAGAGTAAATCCCCATTTAAAAAGGATTAAAAGATGCTTTTTATCAATATTTTCACCAGATTGTATGAAAGCAACAAGCTCCTCAAAATAATCTGATTATTTTAAAGTGAAAGTGGTCAATTATGATTCCATAAAGCTACTGACTGATGAGGTTAGTTTAGTAAGTGAGACTATAAGATGATAAATGCTTTCGAAAGATAAATAAGTTTCAGAAAATGGCTTTTTTGAGGAAGTTTGTAAAGTTGAGGGACAGCAGAATGCAAAGCAAAACAGACTACTCTCAATTAATCATTGATTTATTATACTTAGGCTTTTGTTATTAATATTTAATGGAAAAAAAAACATTTTTGTGTTTTATGTCTGTAAAATACATTATATAGCTTTATATTGCTGTTTTTGACTCGTTTTCATACTTTCTTTCTATATTGTACAATTTGTCCACAAATTATAAACTCCTGTTTGAAAAGAGAAAAACTTTCCATCTTCTGGAAATCCTAATTATCTGGGTCCACACAAATATCTTTTCTATCCCTAGAAAAAGAAGTGTACATACAATAATTAAAACATCATTTAAATGAAAAGGGTTTTTCCTGTCTGAAAGGGAGTTGTTTCATCTGGTCTGATAAACGGTTAAAGTGAATACAAAACGTTTGCAAAAGACTTTTAAAATCTCTGGTTTTTATGACGTGAAAAACTAAGACCACAATAAATAATTTCCTGGCTTTTTCTACCTCTGTTTCAACATTTATCAGGTGTAGCTCATCTGAAAGAAGAGAAAAGAATAAAAAAGCTGCAGTAACACAACATTATTTTTGAATTAGTGATTTCATGTCGATTTAAAGTAATCTTTACCCGCATGCTTCCTGTCACTGGAAGTTATTTTTTTGTAGCTCTCCAGCTAGAGTCGGAGTTAAAAATTAGGGTGATGACAAGGAGGCTTTCACCAAAGGTAAATAAAAATGCAATAAAACTGGTCAACATTTAGAAGCAGGGCCTGATTTCTCTAATCCCATTTTTTTCCCATTGATTTTTTTTGTCTTTTTTGTTTTATCATTTTTGATAACACCACTGTAAAAACACAAAATCTTACCAAGTAGTTCGGTCTAGTTTCTAGTACAAATATTGTAGTAAACTTGAAATGAGACACAACTAAGATGATAGAAACTTTTTAGCAAGATACAGAGGCTTGTTTTAAGTCAATAATTCCTTAATATTGGTGAAAAAGTACTTGTTCCATTGGCAGATTATTTCACTTTTAACAAGACTTTTTCCCCATATGTTAATTTATCTTGTTCAGCTTCTGTATGTTGCTAAAATGTTACTTTTAAGTTGGTTTGTCTCGTTTTAAGTGCAATAAGAGATTTGCACTAGAAACTAGGCAAAAATACCTGGTAAGACTTTATGTTTTTGCAGTGTGAAATATACTTCTGTGTAAACAATAAGCAAGCAAAAACAAAGAAGTGCCCTCTTCGTCTCCATGGTTCAGTCTGATCATCTCCTGCCGTAATGTACCTATGATTTATGCATTTTGGGCACACAACATAGCGTTATATTTATATCTACCACTGTTTTATACACATATGGCTTGAAAAAGAAAAATCTCCGATTTGTCTAACGTTTCATACCAAATTGAATTTTCAATTTTGACGGCTTTTTCCCGCCTCATTTCTGTCCTCTGAAAAGAATTACAAATGACTTTAAAAAAGTTGGGCTCAATTCAGAGTCAAAATAAACAGAAGTTATTAAATATTCTTGTCAAACAAGATGGTGATTGTTGGGTGTGCTAACATCAGTCTGAAATATGGAAAGCTGATTGTTTCATCTCATAGCTATAAGCTAATTTTGATGCATCTAAAAAAAAACACATTTGGTGGTTTAAATTTTTCTGTGAATTATTGCTTTTATTGAATTTTTTTTGTTCCTTTATCTTCAAATTTATTTGTTTTTTATTTAATTTATGCAGTTTATATGCCAGAGTCTCAAGTGCAGATATCCACTTTATTAAATGGTCTTTTGGTGAAACCAGAACTGAGTTTTCATGACATCCGTCATGCCTAAAAGTGAAGTGAAGATGTTCCGGTTGAATTATCTGGTGTTTTGCTCACTTTTGTTTCTGTTGGACCTTGTAATTTTTAGTTGCTGTTCTGTGAGTGCAGTCACTGTTTCTTCTAGCAAGATTATAATAAAACATTGCTGATAGTTCACCTTGGGAATGTTAGTTGCAACTGTTTTGATTTGTCTTTTTGAGGTGATTATTTGCTGGATTTTCTGCTTTTTTGCATCAAAACACAAAAGTGTAGCTACAGGGTAACAATTTGCAGTTTCAAGCTTGATTATGCTTTAAACTAATGTAGAAAACTCAGTTACCCTCTAGGCCTCTGGAGACTTCAACCTTTTGAAACTGTGACAGAATATTTGAACGTATTAAGACTTTAGCGTTTTGAAAACTTCTTATTCCTGAATGCCTAGTCGTAACGTTTTAACCAAATTTGTGTTCTGATTTCTTTCTATGCATGAAACCCGTAAACAAATAATGGGTTTTAAACTCTATTTGTAAAATATCGTGTCCATCTTAAACCTTATGGCTTTTATGCTGTTTGTGGCAAAGTTACCACTTTTCTGAAAATTTTTGAATTTGGGTTTAAATAACTTTGTTGATTAAAGTTCTGATGAAAGGAATCATTGGAAAAATAAACTCTCTGTTTAAAATTATTTAAATTAAACCTGCAATAAAACCACTGGTTCAATATTTATTCATTAATAATGAAGCAATGTGTTTTCAGGTATTTTTTACAATGATAAATGTAGCTAAATTGGGACTAAAAAATAATTTGTTACAATATTTTTTCAGTGGATATTAAAATGATAAAAAAAAATTTTTGTAGGGAATCTAACCAAGTCATGTATTGGTTAGTGGGCATTTAGTATCATTTTTTATAATTAATTCTTGTCATGATGAGAATTTTGATTTAGTTTTTCATCACAATTATTGATGTTTAAAAGCAATCAAAGTCTCCATATTGTTGGGATTTTCTAGTTTCACTATTTTTTCCACTGTTTGTTCAATGAGAATGTCAGTAAATGGCAATAAATGTGAAAATTTGATTAAATGCTGTTAGTGTGTCCAGTTTAATGGTTAAAAAAAAAATCTAATTTCTCTACATGACTGGTGTCCAAAAGATGCATATTACAAATGGGAATGTTTTTTAAGAGCAGAATTTGTGTTTGTGGGGTATTATGTCTGCCACACCAGTTATTTCATAAAGAAGTAATAAATAGTTATTTTCATCACTTTTATTGTTCTGACAATAGTATCACAAAATATTGTAATAAATCCTTAAGCTCATATTGCCCACCCATACATCAAACCTCCTCATTTACATTTTTTTATTCTTTTTTTCTTTTCATTAAATCACATTTGTTTTCATATTTGATCCAGCACAAATTATATACATTATGTGGACAACATGATTCTTATTCAGTAGTTGCTGTTGGCAGATTGGGGATTTTGAGAGCAGTTAAATGTTTTTAAAAGGATGAGTTTCTTTAGGTCACACTAATGTTGTTCTTCGTGTTTTCTTCTGCAGCTAACGCCTCCCACAGACTGAACCTGCTGTACCTCGCCAACGATGTCATTCAGAATTGCAAAAGGAAGAACGCCATTAATTACCGCACTGCGTTTGCCGAGGTGCTGCCAGACGCCTTCCAGCTGGTCAAGTAAGTCGTCAGTCGCAACAAAGAAGACTGGCTGTCGTCGGGGTTCTGCAGAAAAACTCTCTTCCCCTGGTTGATTGTGATATTTGTTCTAGAAATAAAATGTGGATGATATCTCCTGCACAGCAATACTGAAACTGATGGTAGATGCTCACAAATCCTTTTGAAGTAAAAAAAAAATACACAAGTTGGGGACAATTTTACGATAGATTCCTTCCGCTAATGCAATTTTTATGGCAGACGAAAACACTTTTTAAATAAGTCAATTAGGGCTGCAGCGGTTGTCAATCTGATCAACAAAGTTGACAAGAAAAATATGTTGACACCATGAAGTGCTATTGTTGCTGCACTAGAGGCTTTAGAGCCTGTGGAGTTTCCACTGTCTGTCAGCAAAGTGGAAAGCGGAGCTCTCTTTCTGCAGCAGCACTACTGCAATACATGGACATGTAAAACAGAAACATGGAAAAGCTTTTTGTCAGCAATGTTTTGTATTACAAATACAAAATATAACACGTTTTCTTATGATCAGAAGAAGAGATTGTATTGGAAAATGTCATTGTGAGGTAGTATGACAAAAACATCAGATAAAGTCATCGGATAATAAAATTTCCCACCACAAAATAAAATCTGAAGATTTGAGATATATACTGAAATATATGTAACAAATATCGCAACTTTGTTCTCCAATCGAACTGAGACTATAAGGTGTGAAAACACCCTGAAGGACACATGCCAGGTCCTAAAATGTCCATATTGATTTTAGCCAACAATTTTGAACCTGGTATCATTGACCAAATGTAAATTGGACTATAAACAAAATTAAAAATACTCATTAGCTGTCACTGCTGTATCTACAAGATACGTTGAATCCTGAGATGAATGTTTGCTACTCCCCTTTCCCAGAGCCCATCGTCCTACATGTCCTACACCTACTTGAAATAAATGGGGAATGTATTTATAGTTAATGCAATCATTTCAACCAGAGACGCAGCTAAAGACAGTGAGGCCGTCTGAGAGTTTCCTGTAAGGTCCCTGCAAGAAGATACTGAATATGTTTGTGTTGCAAGGGGACATTTCGAAGTTGATTGAAAATAACCTCAAAGCATCCTTGGTGCCCCCAACAAAGTGACTTCCACAGATTGCTTTATTCATACATCTATATGAATAAAGCAGGGTCTGAGTAAAAATGGTCTGTGCTTGTCCAGCTCTAACATCCCTGACTATTGTTTTGGTCTCGCCTCTCTGTTTTCTCCCCAGACTCGAGGGTGACCCCAAGACGATTAAATCTGTGGAGAGGATTCTGTCCATCTGGGAGGAGAGGGACGTCTACTCGGGGACGCTTGTTTCTGACCTCAGGAATATCCTGGTCAAAGAAGAGTCGCCCCCCGAGACACCTGTGGAGCAAAAAAGTGAGCGTAGCATTTGTACTAATTAATCCCCCAAACTCTAAATTTGGCTATGTGTATTCTATTGTTCATCATCTATTGTGGAAAATTTCTCATTATGATAAGAATTTCGATTTTATTGTTGGATCAATACATTTCAATTAATGATGTTAATTTAAAAAAACCCAACAATCTGATAGTATGATTGGCAGTTTTATTTTTGGTATTTTCTCCACTATTTGTTCCATGAGAGCGCAGTTACATTTAGATATAGAGACGTAAAAAATTGTATTTTAGTTTTTAGCGTTATTGCGATTAAATACCGCAAAATGCTGCGGTAAAATTCTAATTCCATCCCGCCTTAGCATGCTGCAATAAGCAATTTATCAATTAATTGTTTGATAAATTAAAATGAGCTTGATCGTTTTCTGATAATTAATGCTTTTGGAAGAGCAATTTTGCTCACAAAGACCTCGTAAAATTCACCGTTTTGGTTGTGTGTGTTCTTTATTTTACATTTTATTTATTGTCTTTCATTGTTCTGTTCTGGATACTTAAAATATTCTCCATTTTCAGTGTTAAATGTTCAAAAATGAAAGTTTATTGCTTTTTGAGAGAACAATTTTGCAACTATGAGTCTATTACTTAAAAAATTATATTGTAGTAAACAATATTATCATTTATTGCAATAAATCAGCAATATTTATTGTGACAGGCACAATAAAGCCCATCCCGAATACCTTTATACTTTAATGTTTTTTCATATCTGTGTTAAATTTAATTGTAAATTGATGTGTACTACAACTGTGGCTTACAGTTTGTTAATTTGTATGTTTTTAAAGCTCCAGTTGAGTCTAAAGCTGATCTGCGATCCAAGGTTGTTGCTGAGTTTGTGGTGAGTGAGACGTGCATAAGCACAGTAGACCTCTCTGTGTCCATTCAACCTGCATATCGATCTGAGAATATGATTCCTCCTACTCCAGCCTCAAGCCTTTATCGACCAGCTGACCAAGTACAAGAGATCTCTGGAGGAAGTTGACATCAGAGAAAAACAGCTGGCTGCCATGAGGGTGGACATCTTCAGCTCCGACGCTCTCAGGAAACTCAAAGGTGCCTGCTTTCAGTGCTGCACCATCTAAAACGGTTGTACCTCGAAATTCAGTCATGTTTTTCTCACAATCACTCTTTTATGATCCATTCTTGCAGATAAAGCAGGAGGAAAGAAGTTCTCCAGAGACTTTGAGGAGGGAAGCGCTCAGCTGCACGAGTTTGTCAAGTTTTTTGAGAAACAAAGCAAAACCGCCCCTGCGCTTCTTGAAGCTCTTGGGAATGCAGACATCTTCTACGAGATGCAGTACAAAGAGGTCAAAATTGTTGCTAATGTAAGTATTTAATGTCTTAGATGTTAGGTGTTTGTTTTTTATATTAAAATGTCAAAGGAATGAAAATGTATTGTCATGTTTGTAAGCCCCTCCCAAACTGAGTAATTTCTGTAAGTTTGTTTATAAATTTTAACTTTCTCTGTTTTCTTCAGGCCTACCAAACCTTCGCAAACCGGGTTTCCCACCTCAAACGTAAGCTGGACGCCCTGAAGTCCAACTTGCCGGACCTGGACGAGTCGCCCATACCTTCGCCTACCGCAGACGCTCCGTCTCCGACAGGATCCGAGTCTCCGTTCCATGGCCTGGACTTGGCCAACCCTGATCCAGACCTGGACGGTTCGGTTATGGAGGACGACGCCGAACCTCCGGCCCCGAGTCCTCTGTCTTCTCCTGAAGCGTCCCCAAGACAGCTGGAGCCCATTGGGGAGGACGACAACCGGGAAGTGGAGGACATGGAGCTCTCTGAGGACGAAATGGACAGTGGTGGGATCATAGGTAAAAGGGTTTTTAGTCACATATGTGATTTCATTTATGGAAGCTAACGTGCAATGACACATTCGGGTTTTCTCCACACGTAGCCGAATATCTTGGAAACCGAATAAATTTTATATGCACTCATAAACTGTTTAATATTACTAAAAACGATTATTAATAAAATCTCTGACCAAATTGATGATGTGACAATTCTCCTTATTTGCATTGAAAACCTGAGATTTAGATGTCTGCTCATTACCGTCTGACTTCACACACATGACCACTGTTATGGTTTGACTATGCAGTGGAAGGAAACATGACGATTATTAGAGAGGTTCTGATTTCTATATTAGTTCGGTTTGCTTTCTTATTTTTCATTTATTTTTTTTTTGCCTCCAGGCACCATACTTAATTTATAACTGGAAGTCATGGGCTGCCATAAGTTTTAGCTTTGTGCTACACTGCCCCCTATGGGTTTGGCATGTTTATAACAATGCTCATGAGTGTAATTCAACAGGTTCATGTGGACTTTGTGTACAATATAAAATGAATATCTGAGCTACATTGTTTTTTAAAAAAAATAGTAAAGCCCTTGCTACTTGTGTAAATTGCCTTTACTGCATTGTTACTGGATATTTTCTATCACCTTTTTCATTTCAGTTGAGGAGCAAAAACAATCCCTCACCCAACCAGTGGTTTCTACTCCAATCCCTGCAAAGAGTGAGCCACTAGCAGCAACCGAGCTGCCGGTCAAAACTCCTGCAGCTTCTTCTGCAGCTGTTCCTGGAGAAACTCCTGCAGCTCTTTCTGCAACCATCCCAACAACTGTTTCCTCTGCTGTTCCTCCGCTCATCCCTTCACCTGCAGATGTTCCCACAAGCATCCTTTCAACTGTTCCTGCGTCTGCTCCTGCGTCTGTTCCTGCAGCTGCCTTGGAAAGTGTTGATTTGGGTGAAATTGGCTCCATCCTCAACAGCTTGGGCCCAGTCATAAACACTACAAGTGAGTACCTGTCTTTTTTTTTTAAACATAATTTTTGTGATGTTTTAACTATTCTGAACTTCAATTATTATATGTAAAGTAAAGTAAACCTAGCTTAGTGATGTGCAACCTTCCACTCTTTGGATCTTCCACAGAGGTTCTCTACAGCTTTGGCTAAAAATGACAAATAACTACTTTTTGTTTTTAAATGTACATGTAAAAAATGCAGGTTTTAGCAGTTTTTCCATGTTTTTATGTAGCAATTCTATTGAATTTTCCCAACAAAATAACTTTAAGTATTCCTATAGACATAATTTTCTTAAGGTTGCTAACTACGTGCTTTTATATTTTTTCTTTTTTTTGCATATTTTCCACAATGTCCGCATTCCTAATTATTGCAAAAATTTTGTTGTTCTTCATTTAAGAATAATCAAAATGAAAAACAAAGGTAAAATGACAAACAAATAAAACAATACACACACATCTGTGTTTACATGCAAATATAAATTGTAATTGCAATGTCCCAAGTAAATATGTTAAAAGTAGACACAGAACGCTTTTCATTTTAAAAGCAAAATGTGAAATTTCTTAAAAATGAATCCATAAAAAAATTAGTTCACGATTATTTAAGTAATTGATCAATCCGATTAATCGTTTCAGCCATAAAAGCATCATTCTTGCTACTGCTGTAGAGAATTTGTGTTGCTCTATAACATAAAATCCCATCAGAGTAGTTCAAAGTCCGTCTTTTTAACGTGATTCTTTTTTAACGTGATTCTTTAGCGAGGCATTATGTCCAATCAGTGAGTGACTTGATGTGGATTCACATGATGAGTGACTGTCCTGCCTGTTCTGTCTTGCAGCAGCTGCAGGGGAGAATCGTCCTGCAGCTCCACCATCATTACCCAAACCCGCCGCTGCTTTAGTCCCTCAGGATGCCAGCTCCCTGGTGAACATCCTCTCCAAGGTGGATGTGAGTCCTGCAGACCTTCTGAGTGCCCTGTCCAAAGTTCAGAGCCAAAGCAGTTTGAAGGGTTGGTCATCACCTGTTTTATTTTAGATTTCATGTTGAAAGCAGTAAACATGATACATACTCATTTGTGTTCTATCTCTTTCTCTCTTCATCTAGGAGTCACTCCTCTACTGTCTCCAAACATGGCTCCAGACCCGTTCCCTCCAGGCAAGATTGCTTCCTCTCACCCGTCCTCATCTGCATCAGCAGCACCTCCTCGGAGCACGTCTCTCTCCTTTCCGCCACCTGTGCATTCTGCACAGCAGAACTCTCAACCAGCCCCCAAAGCCTCCGCTTTGGTCCAGGCTCTGCACAGAAATATGGATTTGAGTACCGATCCAGAACCGTCTATTTCCTCGACAAGCTTAGAGTCGAAAATACACAATTTCCTGCAGGGGAACCCTGCGTTCAGTGTGTTCGACCAGAGTTTTCCAACAAACCCGGCAGCGCGAGGGCAGAGTTTCAGCCCCGTAACGGGCACAGACAACCAGGGGGGAACGCCAGTGAGGGACGAGGGAGGAGGCACTCCCACTCAAGATGAGATCATGGACAAGCCGGTGGCGGTCCCGTTCCCTTCTGGGAAGAATCTGTCATCTGCTGACGAAGCAGCCAATGCTCTTCCTGTAGCATTTGAGAATAAGAATCCAAACAACCCCCGACATGTAGCCCACCCGCTTCCAGGCTTGGCTCAAAACGGGCAGGTCTTCCAGCCCTTCCCCTTTGGCAATCAGGAGATGTTGGAGAGTGGGATTCCTGCACCAGCTACACATTATCAGCATGTTGCCATGCATCCAGGAGGTCCTGGAGCTGCAGGTGGCGCTGGGGGCTCACAGACAATTGAGGGCTTTCAGAGGGCAAACGAGCAGAGTTGGTTTGGCGATCCCCATCCTGAAGGGAGCTCTCGGCAGCCTGGCGGCTACAACATGTTAGCGCCAGGACTTAGAGACAACACAACAGGACTGTACCCCTACCAACAAGAGCAAACACCTGAGCAGCTTCCGCCCGTCGCCCCCGCTTTGTTCAGACCTACTCTTCCTCCAGTCCCAAAAGTACCGCCCCCTCCACCACCACCTACCTTCGAACCCCTGCTGACGCCGCCAATGGGCGGTCTGATGAACCCCCCACGGCAGGAGCCTGCCACCAACATCGGGAGCAGAGGCGACAGCTTCAGCAACATGGTGGTTCATGACCATCAGCATACGTCGCTGCATCACCCGGATGATCTGTTCCATGACCCGCATCGCCCGCAGCAACCTCACCAGGAGGATATGCGCTACCATGATGATGAGCATTTCCTCCATGATGACTCCTACTATCCACCTGATGATGCGTATTTCAGACCGGGGAGTCCTCCTCGCCCTCCTCCTCCTCACCTGTATCCACGAGGCCGAGGGCACCTCTCTCCCCCACTCTCCCCTCCAAGGGACCCTTACTTTGCCCACGAGCAGCACAACGCCCCTCCTCCACGTCAGTTCGCGCCGAGGCGGCCGCTTCCTCCTCGCCACGATATGCGACACCCTATCCAGCGGCCCCCTCCGCCTCGGCCCCCACACCTACCCCGGCATCCGCCCCCCAGAGGCCCGCCTCGCTCGCCCTTCCCTCATTTCAACGGCCCCGACCCGAGGTTCAGAGGCAAGCGGCCCGGCCCGAGAGGAGGGGGTCCCATGTTCCCTCCGAAAAGACCCTTCCCGCCCCCGCGGTACTGACAGCTCCGACTTGAACCAGTAGCTAGTCAAGAGAGTTGAAGTCCAAACTCTGTCAAAACTGTGCAGATCCCAGTGAGCATCAACGGACAGTTCAGAAACCCAGATGGAAAAAAATGGCGGCGAAGAGATGGAAAATCGGACAAGATCCCGGAACGCTCCGAGAAGGCTGCTGAGCTGTGAAGACAGAAGATTAAAGAAAATCAGAGGTGGATATATAAATATATACATATATAATTCACTTTTTGTGTTGCTTTTGTTCCGGTATGAGTCACCCATTAAATGTTCAACTTGTAAAGGATCGTTAGATTGAATCAGTTCACATGCAGTCAGCTGTAGGTTTACTCCTCACGGACCGTCCCTCATATTTCTGCTCCTCCAGGTCTATTATCACCAACCAGCAGAAAATGTAGTTGCTGTCCGGTTTTTTTTCTCTAATTTAGTTCCCGTCAAGCGGTTTTAACTGCCTGCCTTCCAAATCCGCAGCACAGCGGCAGTTATTTTTGTCAAATATTAATTTAAATCCCATTTTAATAAATTTTGGGTGTGCTTAAAGAAAAAAATATGAAGTTGCTTTTTCCGCCAACATATTTGGTGAATCGTTTTTTTTTTTTTTTTTTAATTCATTGTTCAAACTTGGAAATGTCCTATTTGTGAAGCCATGCTCCTTCAGCCAGTGCACCAAGACGTCTTCAGTGATAGTTTCACCTCTCAGTTAAGGAATACGCCGCAAATCGAGGAAGGTGGGAGGAGCTAGGTGTTTTTTTTTTCTTCTTGTTCCTTCATCGTTCATCGCCAACATCCCCGAGGAGTAAATATCTGCAGGAGGCGAAGAGTTATCAGTTTTTATGTCATTGTACTGACCAATAAAAGTCTGAGTTTGAAATGTGTGTCGTTTCCTTTCTCTTAACTTGTACGCTTTGTTTTAAATTTAGACTTTCTTTTTTTTTCCAATAATACACTAGGGAATTTTCTAATGTAATGAAGGGTACAGTTTAAATGATCACCTCCCCCTCATGAATCTGTCTTTTTACGCGCAGAAATAAAACGGTTTCACAGAAACGAGTTAAATCTACAGAACTTCTCTGAGCTTCAGTCGTTTGCCTCTGACACGTCCAAGGTTCAAACTCGGCCCGATCCTCTTTAGCAACCAAATCTCCCTTCAGAGTTTGTAACCTTCTGGATTTTTTTTTTCTCATCTTAATTTCTCCTTCATGTCATTGTTTACGGCGTCCACATTTGTCTACCAGACATAGTTTGTGAGGTGAAGCGACATGCTTCCGGTGGTTGTGATGTAGGAAGAGCAAGCGGTTGTTTGCGTTCAGGAACCTGTTGTGCAGCGTTTACATTTGGCGCGGTTTTATGGTTCCTTTTGGGTTTCTACTGCTTCTAAAATGGCCTAAGCTCTTCAGAAAACCAAAAAGGCTAAAAAAAAACTTATTTTTCTGGCAATAAGTTATTGCTTGGTGTCTGAAAAATCTGCCGTTTCATAAACGTCCAGAATGTTGTGCCACATCCCACGGGCACCGCACTGTTACCTAGCAGCTCCAGCCTAGCCCGGCCCGTCACCTATCAACCCGGGCTGAGCTCCGGGATCTTTGGTCAGCTGCTTTTCAAATTCTGTTCAAAAATATTTTATTGATCCCAAAGGGACATTGAATAATTTTAAATAGTTTTACTGCGGTACGCGCTGTACAATGACTACTGGAAAAGACGAGTGCTTTGTTGTTAACTTACTATTCAGAAGCCGCTGCTGCATTTTTCTTGATTGTGCAGAAGGCTCTACTTCTGCTTTTCGCAGACAGTTGAGCATCTGTCCACAGCCATTTTCACATAGAAGTGTAAACTGATTTGGGAGAGCTTTGGCGCAGTTCATTCTGAAAAGAGCTCAGGCAAAATCTTATCCAATAATGATTTTGCACTAAAACAATTTAATGAAAGTGGTTTGTAAAGTCCATACACCGACCCTAAAATGTTGAAGGAAGCACAAGTCTTGTTTAAATCTCGAGACTTGATGCCTTTCCATTCTAAAAACATGAGCAGCGTCTGTTTGGTCTCATCTAAAGAAATGCTTCCAGCTCACAATGCTCCTTCAAGCTGTTTGACATATTTTAGTCTGGCTTGGAGGTGTCAGAGTTTTTCTCCTGCAGAGTCTCCTAGTGATCTTTGACTCTTATTTCCTGACTTGACTTAATCATTCACTATTATCTTAGCCGTTGTTCCGGGGTCTTTAGAGAAATCTCTCTAGTTTTCTTTCCAAACTCTTTGAAATGTTTAGCTGAATGATGATTCGTTTGAAATTTAAGACCATTGCGGTTTATTTTTTATGACCCCGTCCTGCTTTGTGAACAACAGCACAGAGTTGAGCTGTAGTTTCTGCTATCCCTCAATAAAAAGGTCTGATCTTGTCAGATTTTTTCCCCCTCCATTTTGTAACCCAATAGCATAATACTTCCACCACCGTGTTTCTGATTCTTTTTTTTTCTTCAAACTAGTTCATTTAGAAAAGTTATTTCCTAAAAAAAACATAATAATTTCTTAACTGTACATAAAATCTGTGCAGATGACTTTAGACATCCCCTATATACTTTGTGCCATCAGGAAGATCAATTTTACTTTCAATCTTTTAAAGTGAACTTGATCATTATTTCTACAGTTTTTTTTAAGACATTTTGAACTTTTGCTGCTTTTTTATGTACTTATTTATTTATTTATTTTTTTGTTTGTTTTACACATCTTTAGTCCAGTTCAGGGCCTCTAAAACCTCGGGGTCCAGGTAGAACATTGCTAAAATTTGATCATGACTGTGTATGTTTTTAAGGAATAATGAGACTTAAACTAAGATGGACCAGTATTTTTCTACTTTGAGCAAACAGCAAGAACTAGTTTTAAATCATTAAAGCAAAGACAACAGTTTAACAGACAGAAAATCATTGTAATGCTAATAAGGTGATTCCTAAAATAAAGTTATTTGAAAACTTGCTGTATGGTAGATTATTAATCTAATTCTAATTCTTACATGTTTGCATTTAAACTTTTGCTTTTTAATACCTGAGCCATGCATCGTCCACTCAAAGATAATCAGAAATGGATGAAAAAGTTAGACAAAAAACTGGAAGGAAATTTTAAAAGGACTTAAGAAAATAAAAACACAAAAATCTCTTTAAAATATTGATGCAAACAACTAAGAAAAGAGATTTCACTTTTTTGTTTTTGTACTGTTTGGCTGCTTTACTTGAGAAAATACATTTGACATTTTTAAATTTTCAGTTTAGCAAATGCACAGCTAGAAATGCACACTTTTGTGTGTGTGTGTGTGCATTGATCTAGTTTAATTTGGCCACAGGAATCACTTTCTACTCAACAGGAAGCGAGCAAATTGTCATGCTATTCTCGTTTGGCTGTAATTAGTTGCATAAAAGTTGAGGTCTCTGGACATATGTGTTAAATTAGCCCAGAAAATGACCAAAATTACCTTTTCAGTGGAGCCAATTATTCAGAGACAGGAACAGGTTATAAAATGGATTTATCTAGGATCTAATTCGATGCTAATTCTTTAACAGATCATTTAATTTAAATCCACACCAGTGATGAAGTAATCATTACATTGTAACTCCTTAGGATGTTTTTTTTTGTTGCATTTCTTTACATTTCTTATATTTAAAATGATCTTCTACTAGGGTGGGGGTTTACAGATCAGCTGCAGTCAGAACTACTTTATCTAATGACAAAAAAAAAAAAAATGGAAGCAGATGAGATGGTTAAAAAAAAGGTACATGCTAATAAAAGTAAATGGGAAACATGAGGGTTTTTTGAGAGTTATGTGTGAGAAACGAAATCATAAAACTAATTGGGAACAGTAGATGAGGAGGCACAAGTTCAGGTGTCAGCAGATCCTTGCTGAGATCCTTTACATCACAGACTTTTTGAAAGAAATGAAGCAATTAATTGATATGTGTTTTCACCAGGAGGATGCCTATGCATAGCACAGGTTTTGCACGACAAAGTGAGAAATAATGTGTTTTTTTTTGTGTGTGTGGAATAGACCTGCTTTCCTTGAATTTTAACACTCCTCTCTCTCTCCTCCCCCCTCCTGTTCTTATCCTTAGGGATCCAGAGCCACTTTGATGTGTCTGATGTGATGGGAAAGAAGAAGATGAGAAAAAAAAAAAAAAACTCTGCTCTGCCACATGTTAGCTGATGGAAGTGAGGACTTCTTTGAATCCCGCTCTGCTCCCGGTGATGATGACTCTTCACGGTCTGTAACGAATGCTGAGCGCCGCGGCAAGCTGAGCAAGCTCCCGAGTTTCCAGCCCTTCAGAAACCACAGTGAGTGTCAAAAGTGGGGGAAATCTAAACAGTCGAAGATACGATATAATTTGGAGTTGGGTGTTTCTAGGTTTTCCTGGGTTCGTTTTTGGCTTGCGTCGAGTTTGGTTGGTGTTTCCAGGGCTGGCCCACAGTTTTATGGTGAAAACAAATTTTGCTCGACTGTGTTTTGTCTCTGAAGTCGTTGCATTAAACAATAATATTGTCATTCTGAAGCCATTATCAACCAATATTGTAAGTGCATCCAAAAGATCAACAAACATTAATTTCTAATGAACATTTGACTTTTTAACGAGAAGACATTTTGAATATCTAAAGTAAATGAGCAAAACAATTGAAACAACAAATAAACTGTATTATATAGGCTCTATAAACACGTATTCATCTTTAGGCTCAGACTTTTGTAAAATAAACTATTTTGTACCATGTGTCAAATGTTTGCAGCATTTGTCAAATGGTGACTTTTCTATATTTTGAAAGGGTAACATCTTTTTAATGATTAAACAAACTACGCAAACAATGGAAATGATTGCTCTCCTGTCAACTTATTATGCAATCAATAGATTTATTGCTTACTATGACAAACTTCCTTACGGGTCCTCAGGCAGATTTAGATCTGGAAGTCCACCACAAATCCATCCTTTCAAGTTGGAGTTTATTTTTTAAAATTGTATGTACAGCAATTATAATGGTCAGGTCGCGTTATTATCAAACAATGTTTCTTGTTAAATATCGGTGGAGAACTTTCAATCAAGAGATTTCTCTGGATTTTCTGTACCAGTCAGAGGAAACTTCGAGATGCATCTCTAAGGGGAAAACCTGAAAAGAATCACTTTAGGATCGTGGAGCAGCTTAGCTTTGCATTGCCAAGCGGGATCAGAACATTGGGCTCAACAAAGAAGGAGATGTTGGCGATCTAATGCTTTGTTCAGTCAGTAGGATGCAAATATTTCTTTCTATTTTTCTTTTTTTTTTGTTTTACTTTTTGATTTAATGTATTCTGTATGCTCATATTAAAGTCAAACTTTCATAAAAACTCAAGGCTGTTATTTTGTTTGTGAGCAAATTTCCCCAAATCATCAGCAGAAAAAAAAAATACAAAATTCAAATTTGTCTCAAAAGGAAACAAGCTTTTTCTAAGTTTTATCCATTTTCCTTTGCAGTTGCGTATTTTTTATTGACTAAAACATTTTTTTAAAGATGTCTTCAATCACAAATAGGTGAGAAATTGATTGATTTTTAGAAAACAGTCATAGATCTAAGACTCATTAATATAATGAGTCTTAGAGTCTTATAATTTTACACAGTGAAAACTATTGTATGATTTTTTTGTGGGGGTTTTTCCCATTGAATCAGTGAACAGAATCTACCTTTATTTAATTGTAGTATTTTAATTTAAAATAAGCATTATTGAGAGAAGAAACCAAAATTCATAACGATGACAAGGTTCTGCAGCTCAGAACCTTGAATGCCACTGTGCTGTATGTTTTGCATGCATGCCTGCTCCACCTGAGTCAAAGGAATGGTTGACCATCAGGTTTTTGTAAAACTTGCTAACATGCCATTAAGTTCACTGGGGATTTTTGTTTCAGGGTTGTTGGTGCAGGAATGCATCCAAAAGTCAGAAGACAGTGGCACTTTAGTACCTCTGGCACATCAAATCCCACTGAAAGCCATCAGAGCATGTAGTTTAGTCATGACTAAACATGAGAAAGTTCATTGTCTTTGTATTATTAGTTACATGAAGAGTAATGATGCAATCTAGGTACGTTTTTATGTCATTTTTCTCTGTTTTTAATCACAAATATCTATCTCGATGTGCAAATCCAGGGAGGAAATGTCGTCATGTGTGAGTTATGACCAGTGTTTGCGTAATATGCAGTTTAAAAGCCTAATTTAATCCGCGCACTACTTTCAGTAAATTCTTTATTATTGCTTCTGGGGGCGTTTAAGGTACCCTGCTCTGACTCCGTGCATCTGCTACTGAAGGCGAATAAAACAGCAAAATCCACTCACACAACATCTGTTTGCTGTTCTTACGCTGGACATTAATAATGGAAAGCTCCTCTGCCGTCACCGTGTGGCTCATGAAGCTCGTCGCCAGATGTCAGTGTCGGCTCCAAACCTGCAGGCGGCCGCTGCGCGTCTATGACACAGATCACGTTTCCGAAGCTCTTTGCATGAACAATTAATACCCGATCAACTGTGCAGGAATCAGGTCTCGGCGACCAGGCTTAGAGCGGATTTGGTGACTGATGGCAGATGGCGCATCTTAACCTCCCGAGACGAGCAAGAGAGGAACGAGAGCGAAATAAAGGAATGAATGACAAAAGAGGGAGATTTGTGCAGTTTATTGTAACCACGCGTCGTGTTTGAGCCCCGCACGTCCAGATCGTGACTCCTTTGAAGTGTGTGCGCATGCGTGGCGGGGTGTGTGCAGCCCGCTGTCATGTGGGCTCATTGTTTACATGCTGCCCAGATCTCAGAGAGGGCGTGTGGCCCCCGAGAGCCTCTGTGCGCGTCGTCAAAAAAATAAAACAGTGGAACAACGTTCCTTGCTGCTTGTTGTTTCCTCGAACCCGTCCGCCCCGCGCGGAGAACGTTCCCTTCAGCCCCGGAAATGTGACACGAGTTGAGGGGATTCATTTCAGAACCACGGCCAGCGCCACGGCGAGAACAAAAGGCGGATTTGGAAGCGCCTGACGTCAGGGAGCGACAACGTTTTACAGGCGACGGGAAAAACGGAAAACCTTCAGAAAAAAAAAAAAGAAAAGAAAAATAGAAACGAACACAATGTCTCCACCAGGTTCGGTTCTGTACCAAAATGATTTTCTTTTTTTCTCAGGAATATAATTTTACGTGTAATTTTTCCAGTTCTGTTAACCGTCTAAGAGCCCCTTTGTGCAAAGCTTGGGATGGACAAAATGTCATCAAAATGATTTTTTTTAAAGCATTTTTGCTTTATTTATTATTCCCACCACATCAGATACAATCAGTTTTATTACTGTCTATTTTTTTTTTAGATTTCTCTCTCATTCCATGTATGCAAATTGGATTTTAAAAAAAATGTTTCATAGAGTTTGTAACTCATAAACTGTTTGACTGTTTTCAGGAACTCGTTGTGCTTCAATGTAATTTTCATTATCGATAAATTGCTATCGATAAATACTTAGAAGATTCAACAGCAATGACAACCCTGAACACAAATCTGGAGCAATTTGCTCCAGCTGGGTCAGTTGGACACATTTTTCTAAAAGATTAACAGCTGTAGAAGTGTTATGTTTTGCATCATCTTGTTTTTTTTTTTTTTTTTTTTTTTTTGTCTATTTATGTCAATTTCTCACTGTGCATAATCACTTTAAATGGTAACTTTCAACAATTAAAGTCTTTGTTGAGAAAAAACAGATGAGATTTGTAATTTGATTTCAAGGATCTGACCCTACAAAAGCAATTTTTTTTCATTAGTTGTGCAGAGATTTGAAAGACGTTTTTTTTTTCCAATTGTGTTTCTTCACACCAATAAAAATTGGGGGATTAAAATAAAATAGTAAAATAAAACGTAATTTTACTATAGAAAAGGAAGAATAAATCAAAAGGTTTGTCAATGACAAGTAAAAAATGCAGAAGGGACGCAGATCCCTCTGTTTAGTTTTAAAGACTTTTTTTAAAAAAATGTAAAAAAAAAAACAACAAAACTGACCACATCAGCAAGCTAGATTTTATGAAATTTGCAAAAACGTGGCCAACAATGAAAAAAAAAGAAATAAATAATGCAAATTTTCCTCGTCTCTCTTTTTTTTTTTCCTTCAATTTTAACTAATGAAACTGTACAAAACTGTACTTCTGTCTGCAAATGCATGTGTATTAGTGGACTAAATGGAGCGCATGAAAACCCACCTCAACTGAAAATCATGTTTAATATTTAAAGCTCCTCCATGAAATCCCTCGTGACGTTTTGGTGATTTTCAAAACAATCTCAGTATAATTTCTACTTTAAAAAAAATAAAAAACTAAAAAATAAGAGGAAGCATTATTTAAGTGCAGATCAGTCAGCGCAAACACATTGTGAGCAGGAGCGTCCCCTGTTTTTGCAGCACACGCTTCCTTCCCTCCACGCTGCTGGTAATTTAGCGACGGCCCCTGGCGGCAGACATCACGGCTCGAGCAGCCAGGGGGAGGGATGGAGCCGAGATGGACAGGGAGGGAGACACCGGCTTACGACGTCAAAGGAGTACAGACACACAGGGAAGAGGAGAGGACAGCCAGCCAGACTGCCAATTCCCTCCGGCCCGCTGAATTAGGGAAGTCTAAAGACTCATCTGTCACAAGACCCTCTTTTTAGCCACGCCAGTAAGAGATTTGTTTTAATTTGTATTATTTATTTATTTATTTATTTTCTACCTCCCCATCCTATTCAAGAAAAAGAGAAATCCAGGGCATCTGTGTGAAAACAGTAGTGGAAAAAACCAAGATCTCGTAAAATTCGCTCATGCCGAATGAAGGACCTCGGCTGGATGTTAGTTGTGTTGTTTTAGGGGGCGTGCGGGCCTAACTTGTTACAGGATTCAGACACGGACAGATGAACTGAGAAATAATAATAACCAAACAACAGGAAGGAAGGGAGGAAGGAAAGAAGGAAGGAAGCAGGACACATCAAACCAGATCACTTCGATTTTTTTTTTTTTACATACCACGACCAGCACCACAGGTATTATCCTCCCAACTCTTTGTTTTTGCCTGTGTGTGTGTGTGTGTGTTTTTAAATGCGTGAAATCGCGTCCAGGTCATTGTTGTTGTCACCGATGTCTTGACAAAGAGCTCTCCAGCTGTGCTGACTGACACGCTGTCATGTTGAGCTCAAATCTGCCACAAATCCACAGGAAGGATTTGGTTCAAGCTGCAATAATGGAAAAATCCTATAAAAATATGGTCATAATGCAGGGAGAAAAGAGCGAGTGTGCTATCTATTATATAAAAACAAAAACAAAAAAAAAATCCCCTAAAAGGGAAAAGCATGTTTTTGGGGGTTTTTTTACTAATTGTTTTTGGGGAATTTTTGTGCGATTTTATTCAAAGCATATTGTTAGACTGTGCCTTTTTCCGCTTTTGAAGTTTTATTTCTAAATTGAGAAATAGCTTGCAGTTCTCCCAGAAGCAAACTTTATGACTATGTGTTTGAAATGAGCTTTTGTTGTAGGTTTTAAAGTCCCTCTGATGTAATCATCCCGACTGTTTTAGGGGCACACAATGTTAAGAAAAACATGCAGCTGTGGTACTGATGTTCAATATAGGCCAGTTTTGCTGTTGTTTACATGCAGTTTACTATATTTTTCTAAATATTGTTTGCTTTATTTTACTTCTGTTTTATGCACAATGGTATATGTTTGTTCTTTTTTTTAATTTCTGTGGTTTCACATGTTTATATACTGTTTTAAATTCTGATGAAATTAGAACAGTTTATTGGGTGCCTTTGCAAGACAACAGAATTATACCAAATAGGATTTTGTCGGGGTTTTTTTCTTTTTTTTTGTCTGATACCTTATGAAGTTGACCTTCCAGTTATTTAATTTGTAGAACCAAACATGTGTTTTGAATGCATATTTTCAAGAAAGTGCTAACTTTTTTTCTGTCCATTAGATAATCGTATTAAAAATGATACCTCTGGTGTCATTTTACAGCCTGATAATATGAACAATTATCAGAAAATTCAGATTAAAAAAAGTATTGGATGCATTTTGTTTTTCAACAGAAAACGTTTCTGGTCGCCTTGTTTTCTAAATTGGTTCGTATCGTATTCGGTACATCAGGCTTTTTCACTCGTTTAGTTGTTAGATAATCTAACAGCTAAACTAAATTGCTTTTTTAACATGTAATAAAGCATCAATTAAGGCCAATTTACATAATGGGGAGTAATGAGGAAAATACTTTAGCAGATAAATAATTGTATCACATGACAAGAGGGT